AGTGTGCTTGTTTTATGGGTAGGCGAAAGACTCGCCAACCCGAAGATCCGTTTGTAAACAACACAGAGTCCTTGAGTGATCGTCACAAGCAACTCGATCAGCTTCGCCTGGACTTGTGGTTAACAACGGTCAAGCAACTTAAGCTCGTCCGCCTGATCCGAAACGAAATTCCGGATTCTAAGGACGCAGCCGCCTGGAACGTCATTCACGACTTCAGCGAATTGCTCAAAAACGTATTGAGCAAACCCAAGAGATTCTTGAAGGATCTTTTGATCACTCCATCCACGTAGACAAGAAACGTAGATTGTAGGGAGGAACTTTAATCGGAACCTTCTTTTTCGCTTCGTTAACTTCGGTTTAGGGTTCTGGTATCTTTAAGACTAGCGCTGAGAAGTCCAGTTTGTAATGGCTCAAAGAAGGAGTCGTGCAGCTGAGCGCCCGTCACCGAACCCTCGTCCTCATCAACAGAGCCGCGTAAGTGCTCCGAGCGACACTGAAGCTACTCAACCTACGATGCGAACAAATACAAGATCGCAAGCGTCAAGTGAAGGGACCAGTACTAATGCGCAGGCTGAGTCAGCCTTCCCGGCTACTGATTCTGCTCAAAATGCGGCCGGACCTGAGACGATGTCCATGCAGCACCTGCTAGTATACATAACGCAGCAGCAACGGCAGTATCAAGCTCAGACGCAAGCGCAAATGCAAGCCCAAATTCAACAAGCTAATGCGAGATTCGAATATCTCGTTGCCGCTAGGGGTGAGCAGAAAAAGAAGGACCCTCCGATGTATGAAGGAAAGTATGGTGAAGACATTGAGTTATGGATCTTCGCTACCGAGCAGTACTATACAAGCAGACGTGAGTTAATGGAGGCAGATTTGTCCGGTTTCGTGACGATTATTTCCAGCAACTTAGGCAAGTCAGTGTTGAACAGGTACCGCGCTTTTATAGCCGAATGTGAGAGAGCGAATATGAACACCACGTGGTCGTTGTATAAGCAACAACTACGCACGCGCTTTCGACCAAAGGACTTCGAGTACGATCTTCGTGAAAGAATGTTTCGTCTCAAACAGAACGAAATTATCCACGAGTATGTCTCGAAGTTTCAAGACTTATTGTCGCAGACAGAACTGGCGATCAGCGAGTTGGACAAGCGTTTCTTCTTTCAGAACGGTTTAAGAGAAGAGACCGCAAGGAAGATCAAAGAAGAGAGTCCTTCGACATTGCAAGATGCCATTGAGATTGCGTCGAATTTTGAGTTTGCGCACTACTCGGGAAAACCCCCAAGAGCTACTGCGAAGGGTTCGCAAGGATCGTCAAGCTCGGGGCATC